TGGCGAGGTTCTTTAGCAAAAAGTTTCTACTTTCAAAAGCATTTTGTTTTTTAATAGGCATTATGATGTTTATAGAGGAGCTTCAGGTTTATTCTCAATTACAAAATTAAGACTTTCAGCAAGCTCCAGCCTTCCAGTATTCAAAGTATTTAGTTAATGTCGTTGGTGTAAATATCCAAATTATCTCAGTTATGGTCTAGGTCAGTATGGTTGAATATGGTTCTTTCGATTTAGCATAGGGAGACTAAAAGGAAAGTGCAGAAACATTAGAAGGGCAAGTTAATAGAAGCAAAAGAACCTCATGAATTTGCAATTGAGCACCGTGACATGCAATCAACTGAAGTGTTCTTAGCGTTAAATCTTACAACACTTTAAGTTGCCAAATAAATGAATAACACAGGATTTGGAAGAGAAGACACTCCCTTCATCCACCATTCAATGCCAATGTGCATGTTTGCATGGCAGTTGTATGTTGTTCCTTCATCAACCTGATCAAAAAAAAAATCACCTTTCTATTAGAAGGTGATATAAAGAATTAAAAGCTAATCACCCCAGTGAATTAGTACACCTCAAATTCAAGACTGAGCCAAAAGAGAAGCAGTGTTGTCCAACTGTCACTGCTAGAGGTATCTATCTTCTTCAGATCTAATGTTTTGAAACCCGAACAACTACAGATGTTGGTGTATGAGCAATTTTGGGATGATCATATCCAACCAGGTCATGAAAGTGAAACCTCATATCAAGAAGAAACAACTGAAGGCCCTTCTTCTCCAAAGGGCCGACATCATCTCTTTTGTCATCAACGAATGAAAGAGAGTTTATTCCCTGAATACCAAGCATAATTAGAACACTGCAAGTACAAAGCTGACAGTGCTGAGGACTTAAAAATTCAGATAATAAAATCTTAAAAGCACTCTTAACTTTTCTAGAGCAAAACATTCGAAGTACCTAGTAAGCGCAAATGGAGGACAAGTATGTGTCATTCATACTCTGGTAACTAACCAGGGTTTAAATTACATCCACTTCCTAAGTTCAGGCTCCTTCTGACTCCTAACCTTTTAATTCGATGGAAACCAAATAGGTGAAATGAAATGGCTAAAACCCAAAAGAACATAAAAGCATTTAATGGGATTATATCTTCAATTTCTGTTCAACTCCTGTCTGTAACCAGCAAAATAACATCCCATATGGTTCCATTGATGAGTTGGTAGTATATATTTATGCTTCTGACTTCTGAGCACCTAATTCAAATTGTGATGACAACTACAGTTACGGAAGTAATCAACATGCCAAGGATAAACATTCTCCTCTGCTTTGCAAAGTAAAACCTGCCATATTGTCTCACAATCTTAGGAATCCAGCATACCTAGTTAGTCAAAACACCTGAACTCAGTGGACTATAAAGGAATAGAATGTGACAAGCAAATATTAACATCCCACTAGTTTGTGCAGGAAAATAAACTTCAAAACCTTAACTGGGAGAGGCCAGTATCGAACCAATATCAGGGATTACAACTAGTACGTGATTGGATAAATCAATTGGCGAGTCTTAAAAGGAAAATGTCATTGTTAGAACAGGAAGACACTTGAGGGGTGATACAACATGTTCGATGCAACTATGTAATAAGAGTGGGAAAAGGAAAACTGGATGGAAATGAAATTGCATAACTACCTTATGGTGGAAATCAGAATCACCAAAACCTATACCATCTTCAGCAGATGTGAATGCTTATACCCAGTACAGAAAAATATAATGTTGGTTCGCTTGTTCCGTGTGTCGCCAACATATAATACAGCTAGATACCAAACCGACAAAACAAAAAATGGTTCACACAATGACAAAATTGCAATTGCAGAATACAGTTACTGCCTGCGGTTATGATAAACACAAAATAATATCTATCTCAAGCATGGTAAAATGTTTGAAGTACTGATGTTTGGATCACTCACAAATTCTAGATGTTCAATGCTAGTTTCCAGCTTAGATGCAATAACTTGCACTTTACACCCCTAAAAAACTTCAAGATCACCTTGTTTCCTTTCCTCAACTCTTTTGAGGTCATGTTCTATCTGTAAATATTATGGGCATAGAAATCTGTCACAAGGAAGCCTACATAATTAGCCTTGCAACGAAGCAAGCATCCTTCACCTAGAATTCCAAGAACCATAGAGCTTAATACCTCAATCAATGCCAGCCTAGATTATGTGTAAAAGGGTTTAGTTTGAATCATTCTTAAACAAACAAATCTACAAATATCAATCAACCAATCTGTTTCAGGAAATCATCTAAGAACATTATACAGTGATCATCTTGCCCATTATTTAGTTTGAAAACATGCACATCTTCAGTGCTTCCTCCCTCCTTAGAAACTGCAGAGGGAAAAAGTAGCCAAAAAAAAAAAAAACTCCAATCAAGAAATGTTCACTTCAAACGGACTCGACGCTTACTGTTCAGATATTTAGAATTGTCATTATCATGTTTCGTGAAACATAACCCAAATATGCACCAACGTTTAAAACAATAACACACAACTAACTATAATAATCGAGTATTCAGCACAGAATATACAAGAATAACATGCAAAACTAAAGTAACTAAACAGTTGTATGAACATTTACTTCAGGAACAATTTTACTTCTAATCTAAAATTTAAGGATAAGGAACCAAAGCTCGGGCTCTCTATCCCCTTGAGTTCTATTCTTTAGACTTGCGAGAGGTGTAATTGCGACCTTGAAACAGAACCAAATCAAATGAACGGATTGTAAACTTCATAGCTTTAAAAAAAGGTTCATATAAAAAGTTAACCTTGTCAATTTGACGAAACTGAGCCGTCTGAGCTCGCATTATAGGAAACGCAACATAAGTGTCGTTAAAGCTTAAGATTTTTCTCTGGAATTGGGAAAACATTGGAGAAAATCATTCGCCTAACCTAAACTGGAAAAGCAAATTTTGTTGTAATTTGTTTGAAGCATCTGCGCTTTACGAACCAACTTCCGAGAGCAACGGAAATACTGAATTGATCAGCATCCGCTATTCTCGGCCTCCAAATCTTCTATGGGTTTCCCTTTGGGCTTTGAACGGTAGTACGAGTATCTAATAAGTAAAAGGTTTATTATATACCTATTTTTTTTATTAAAAAAATCTCAAATGAATGTTTAATACTAGTAAGTGATATTATAACAACTAATTAAATTGTGGAACACACTTAATGTATTATTTTTTAATTATTTTATATTATATCAATTTAATTTTTAATTTAAATATCATTTTGAAATAAAAAAATTGAAGTATTAGTTTTAAAAATGTTATAAGTTTTAAAAAAAATAGAAATACGATTCATATTAGTCAAAGATGACATCATTCAATACAATTGAAGTGATGCATTCATAATCAAAAGATAAAGAAGGATTCGAAGTGGATGTACATTGTACCAAAACATAAGCACCTGAATGTATGGGTATGGATACACATTAAGGAGTAGCACAACAAGATGGAAGTTGGATGCCGAACAATCCAAACAATACTATAGTAGTTAACACAAAACACTCATAAAAAACACTCTATCGAAAATAGAATCAATTTTAGATATCAGTTTGTAATTCTTAGTTCAATGAATTAGATCTCTTCAATTTTAAAAAATATATAAATATTTATTATTATTTAAAGAAAAGTCATGTTAGATATTTTTATATAGTGAAAAACAATGCATTAACATCTATTATTAGGTTGAATATGAAGTCAATTTAAATTTAAATTCTAAAGATAAAAAATGTTTTTGAAACAATTTATTTATATTTAAAAATTTAATCTAATTTAACTCAAATTTTAATTAAAATTTGATCCAACTCCATTTTGGATTTAGCCGAACCCAATATGGACATGAAAGGAGAAAAAAATGAAAACAAGATTTGGCAGTGTTTTGAAAATCGGACCAGATCGACCGGTTCAACAAGTTCAACCGGGAATCGTTGTCTAGTTCGGTTCAAATTACATTGGTTGAACCGTTACTAGTGAACCGGCCGGAACCGTTGAACCGTTCGAACCGGACCGGCTGAAAATCGGAAAAATCGGGAAAAATCGGGAATTTTGATTTTTTTTAAAAAAAAATTAAACCAAACGACGTCATTTGTTAAACGAGCCAAGTCGAACTCGAGTATTGCTGAGCTCGACTCAAACTTTAAAAATAAGCTAAACTCGACTCAAACTCACGAACTAAAAATTATCTAGTTCAACTCGAACTCGAAATATAATATTGAAACTTGAACTCGAAAATGCTTGAACTCAAAGAAAATTTAGAAGTTCAATTGAAGCCTAAAATTCGAGCTTGATTGAAGTGAAAGAATAGTTCACTCTATGCTCACCAAAAGGCTCAATGATTTTGAATGTCAAATTACTTCTATTATTTATAGAAGTTAGTTGGGATGCTCTTATATGTTTCTTAGTCATGTGAGATTACTTTATTCTCATATTTTTAATCTTTAGACTTTTGGGATGTTCTTCTATGTTTCTTAGCCATGTGAGATTGTTTTTTTTTTAAAAATTAAACCAAACAATATCATTTTGTTATAATTTTTTAGCCCCAAATTTATTTTTTAATTATAGTTATATAATTATATTTATTATTTAATATGTTTTACCTTAAATATTATGTTATAGTTAATTTGAATCATTTTGTTTCACTTAATTTTATGGGTTTTAACTTATATATGTTATGACTTGCTTTGAATATGACTTGTGATATACAAAATTATTTTTTATTAAATATTTTTGATATTTTTATTTAATTTTTTTAAATAATTATGAAGTCGTCCGATTCTTCTGACCGATCAAATCGGTTCAATCGATTGAACCAATAAATCGATAACATGACCAGTTATTTAAATGGACCGATTATTTAACTGGTCCGGTTCTGAAAACCATGAGATTTGGGTTAGAGAGAAAAACCCAAAACGTGGAAATCAAATCCCGTCGAAAAACAGAGTCAAATTGATATTTTGGAAAACAGAAAGGGTAAAAGAGTAATTGAGAACTTCACCTCTTCCCCAGGAGGCAGTTGACATTTCAATCACTCTTAGAATCCAAGTCTCTCTGGCATCCACCCCTCTCCACATCCGATTACTCCCTCCCACCTCTGATCTCTCTCTCCCAGTCTCCAAATTTCCTCTCAAAATTTTCATTATTCGTTTCAAAAATAAACCCTAATCCCATCACCTCCACCGCATTTCTCCGAAATGTCGTTCGATGAAGAAGAATCAATCGAACACACCTTACTCGTAGTTCGCGAAGTCTCCGTCTACAAAATCCCGCCCCGCTCCACCTCCGGCGGTTACAAATGCGGCGAGTGGCTCCAATCCGACAAGATCTGGTCGGGTCGTCTCCGGGTCGTTTCCTGCAAGGACCGCTGCGAGATCCGATTAGAGGATCCCAACTCGGGTGACCTCTTCGCCGCTTGCTTCATACACCCGGGTCAGCGCGAGAGTTCCGTCGAGCCGGCTCTCGATTCCTCTCGTTACTTCGTGCTCAAGATCGAGGACGGGAATGGTAAACACGCGTTTATCGGGCTCGGGTTTAATGAACGGAACGAGGCGTTCGATTTCAACGTGGCGTTGTCCGATCACGAGAAGCATGTTAGATGGGAGAACGAGAAAGAGACTGGTGAGACGAGTGAGAATGATTCTCACATCGATATTCATCCCGCTGTTAATCATAGATTGAAGGTAGAAGATTTTAAAGTCTTTTACTTTTCAGTAGTTTCATACTTCAATTTTTTACTGATTTTCATATTTTTTAAGTTACCTTTATTAAGCTACACTTTGATTGATTTGAGAATGGGGAGCTTTGAGGTTAGTGAATTTATCAACTTAATATTTTGAAAGACTCAAATTTTTTCTTTGACTGTGAGCAAAGCAAGAAATTCAGTTGATCCGATTGTTCTACATATAATTTAGTCCGTATGTTTTTGGGTTCGTTAGGTGACGAATCTGTTGTGGTTTTGGATTTTTGTGACACTATAAAAGAATCTACATGTTGTGGAGAGATTGTGCAAGTTCCTTTTGGCAATATGTCTGAATAAATTATATATAAATATAAATTTTTTGCAGGCTCTGTTGTTATGATGAATAAGTTTTAATTGGATTCATGAGTTGTGATCTGCACTTGGTTGTTTTAGTTTGTTGCTCCAAATAATACAATTCAGTCTTTTTTATTATTGATGAGTTTTAAATATGGTATTTGTTTCTGTTTTAGGTGTTTGATCTTATGGTGTTTTGGGTTGTAGGAAGGTGAGACTATAAGGATTAACGTGAAGCACAAGCCATCTAGTGGGACTGGTATGCTTTCATCTGCTGGATTGTCCGGGGGAAAGCCTAAGACTTTGAGCCTTGCTCCACCGCCCAGTGGTGCTGGAAAAATAAGGTCTCCTCTCCCACCTCCTCCTAATGACCCTGTTGCTGCTCGGCGAACCTCTTCTAGTCAAGGTGTTGGTCAAATAACACCCAAAGAAAACATGAAACAAACCAACCCTTCAACATATTTTCCTCAACTAGAGGTATGATTTTATGATCCCTCAATTGGATATACGTTTCATTTGCTCTATATAGCCAAAAGTTCTGCGAATTTTGATACCTATCATATTGAATATAGCATTGCTAGGGAATTGGTTATCATGATATATACACCACATGGATAGAAGTTATACTCCTGGCAGGCAATATCGTGCTTACATCTTTATGATTCTGTGTGTTTGTATGTATTTTTCCACGGTAACTTCCTTTTGTATTTTACTTTGGTGATTGCTTTGTGCTAAATCAATGCCTTCTGTTCCCAAGTGGTGATGCTTTTGGTTCCTTAATTAACGACGATATTTTGTGACATTTCATTTACAGAGGAATGTTCCTGCTACCGGATCAGGATCTTCGAAGACCACTGCATCAGGATGGGCAGCTTTCTGAATTGCGAGACCATTTGTTCTAGAATATGTAAGCTCTACTGTTTGATGTTTTTGATATGTTAAAAAAGAAAGGAGGAAAAAAGAAGAAAGGGACAAGGTATCATATGCTTTCATATTTTGAAAAATAATGCTACCAATATCATATTTTCCTCCTTTGTCTGACAAGAACTTGTGTGTTTTTATTATATAATTTGAATATAATAGAGAAAACTATTAATTTTCTGTCGACATGCGGCATGCACTTCAATAATTGCGCTATTGACAAAGGATGCAAGAAATGTTTTGTTATATTTGCATAAATTTAAGAAATAAATTGATATGTTAAATCTATTAACCGTAATTGAAAATAGTACATATTCTAATGAGAACGAATCAGTTGCAGTAGCCAAATGTTCATCATAAATGTTTGTTCCAGGGATCGGAACCCATATAAGTTAGAGCGATGAATGGAGAGTCCCGTAAATCTTGTACAATCACATCCCATTTAAACCCTTGACTCGAAACAAGAGACATTGGATTAGCAGGCTGAACCGTAAAATTGGTTGTCAGTCGTCGACATGAACACCTCTCGTAAGAGAACATGGCGTCAATCGAAATGCCGGTGAGACAATGAACCTATGCCTTCAACCACCAGTAGCAGTATCTGGTGCAGTGTCACAACAATCTCGAATGACGAAGATCCACGACATTAAGAAAAATGTTCCAACTCTTTTCTTATCCGACCACATCCGAAATATTTAATATATTTTCTTTAATATTGTATTATTTTTGACAATATTAAATAAAATATGTCATTGCCCAAAAGCACAATCAATTTGGCCCATGATCAAGTTCTACGTCATCGACTAAAAGCCCCAATCAACTTGGTCTCAACCGGGGCAGACCCACGTGACCCTATAGGTAACAAATGCATACCCATTTTCTTTGAAAAGTTATAAATAGTTAATATATTATATTAGAAAAAGAAAATTCTGCACACTCATTTTTTGGGTGTTGTATTGTTTAAGGTAAATGAGAAGTTTGTACTTATTAAAATATTATTTACTTTTAACTTTTACATCATCTTTTCTTCAATGATGCACAACCATTTTTTTGGGTGTTATGTTGTTTAACGTGAATGAGAAGCTTATAATGATTAAAATATTATTTATTTTTCGCTTTTATATCATCATTTCTTCGCCTTTTTAATTTTTTACTTTTCTTACTTCCAATTCCAAAGCTTCTATTTTGTTTTTTTTCAATAAAAAAATTACACTTTGCCAAGCTTCTGTTTTATTTCTTCACTTTCTCATTTTTCTTTAGTTTAAACCAACGTTTTAGCGTTATTTACCAGTTATTCTCCGGTGAACTTTCTCATCTAAGTTTCCTGCAAGCTGTTGCTCCTCTTTTATTTGTATGTTCTTCACTTATTCTCTTACTCTTTTAAATAAAATAATTTTTTTAGTTTTTAAATTTTTTAAATTTTTTTTTTAATTTGAGTGAGTTAAATTAAGAGATTAAATAAAATTTTAGATTCAATTTGATAGATTTTAGTGATTTTGTGAAGAATATTTGAATATTGAATTGTGATACATGAAAATGAAATTATGAATATGTATTTTTGAGGATGAGAAAAAATTATATTAAATTTGTGTAATTTAAATTATGAATATTTGTCTAATTAATAATTATTGTCATTTGTAAATTTTGTAATTGTAGTAGTGAGAAGGTGAATGATGAAGAGATTAAACCTCAACGAAAGAAGAAGAATGGAACGTTGGATTGGTTTATTCAAAAGTCTAAAAAGGATTATGCAAGTTATTCCCAAGTGTCAATTTGTGTCTCATAACCAACTCAACCTTCAACAACCCAAGCCGAGCAAGAATTTGCATCAAGGGATATGGAGATTGAGAGCCAAGATGATGCTCGAAATGATGATAATACTCGAAAAGTCGATAATGTGAGTTTTGCAATCGAGTCATTTGATTTCATATTCATGATTCACTTGGTGAATAGAATATTTGGGATTATGGATGAAACAAAGTTTTGCAGAGAAAATATCAAGATATCATCAATGCTATGTCTCTTGTCACTTTAACTAAGGAAAGATCGCAAAACATGAAGGAAAACGAGTGGGAATCTTTTTGACTACAACCACTTCCTTTTGTAACAAGAATGCCAATGATATTCTTGATATGAATGTTGTGTATACTCCTCTTGGAAGAAAGAAACTTGTCGTTTGGATACAACTAATAGTCATCATTTCTGAATTGAAGTGTTTTTAGAAGTTATTGATCTTCAACTTCAAGAGTTAAACAATCGAGTTGATGAGGTTAATATAAAGTTTTGACTTGTATGGCTTCTTTGAGTCCACTTGATAAGTTTTCTTCGTTTAACAAACAAAATATACTTAAACTTGTTGAATTATATCCCGATGAATTTACAAGTGTTTATAGACTAGGCCTTGATGATCAACTTGATAATTAAATTGTTGATATGCATAGGGATGATAGATTTTAAATATTAAAATATATGGGTGAACTTTCCATGAAGCTAGTCGAGACAAAGAAGCATCAAGTATACCAACAAGTATATTTGCTCATAAAATTGGTGTTGATTCTCCCCGTAGCAACCGCAAGTGTGAAAAGAGCATTTTATAAAATGAACATCGAGAAGAATAGGTTGCAAAATAGCATAGGTGGCCAATTTTTAAATGATTGTTTGATTACTAATATAGAAAGAGATGCTTTTCTCCAAATCGACGATGAAGTAATCATGAAACGATTTCAAGGAATGAAAGCTCCTCGAGAACAATTGTTTTCAGTAATAGTAATTTTTTGTACTTTTTGAATGAATTGTTATTTTGGATTATGGATTATGTAGTTTTTTTTATTAATGAATATTATAATATTTATTTTGGATCTCCATTTTCGAATTTCTGGATCTGCCACTGATCTCAACTCATTAAGAAGAACAAGCTTTCGGATTTTATGGCGAGACCATTGATCGACTGGTTGTAGGACAACCTGTGAAAGCAAGACAACCAGGAGTGGTGGCTCTAATTTTGGAAAATTTTGTTCCCATAATCTGGTGAAATTTATGAAAGCAACATAACTTCATTATCTTTAATGAGAATTTTACTGAATATGATAATATTGTTATTCGAAGCTTGAGATTACTGTAGGAAATCATCGTTGGATATGGTTTCATACAGCTTGCTACACATAAAAATCGGAAATTCCAAATGGAAGCGACTATCAGAGGGATGAATCAAGGCAAATGCGGATGGTGCTGTTCATGGTAATGATATGAGCCGTGGCTGGTGAAGTTTTAAGATGTGAACAAGGAAGGTGGTGGTTCAACTTTGCTAGGAGTCTTAAATGTTGCTCGATATTAACAGCAGAACTACAGTCTATAGGTGATCCATGAGGCGCTTAAGCATGCATGGAGATTGTGTTTTGGGTATGAGTTTGCCCTACTAGCACCCAATTCCCAGGAAGTAGAACTATTTGAAGGATACCAAAACCTGTCAGAAGGGCACTCCATAGTTGCCACTACCAGCGGTAACATTTACATTCTCAGTAATTAACTAATTATTTTTCAGAGAATATTTATAATTAAAAAATTATTAATAATAAATATTTTGATTAAAACAAAATCATTATTTTGTTCAATTAATATGTTAATATTTTATTTATTAAAAGAAATTAAAGGGTAGGCAATTTAAATAGACTCCTATAAATTGGATTCTAAGTACATGCTTATCTAAATCTTTTAAAGCCTTTAAATGAGAGTTTTAGTTACACCAAAGCATGGTGGAGTTAAGAGTATGTATATTCACAGCTGTTAATTGTTTTTGCAAAAATTATATGTTGAATTGTTGCTCCGTTTCAAATCTCGCTAGTTTTGAATCCCAAGGTTTTTGCTAAACCTTATTGTTGTTTTTCTCAGTAAATTGTGAGTGATGGCGAGGGTTGTTGCTCAGTCGGCTCTACTTACTACTCCTACTCATGGTCATCGGATTGAAAAATCGAAAAGGTCTGTGAAAACGTCTAGTTTACAAACACCACTTTTAAGGATGACGGGTGATTCGATTCCTTTAGATAAAATGGTGGGATTCGGCCAACATTTCCGTTCGCTGTTAACAATGTCTTCCCAGCTACGAAGTGGCAGCAGATGTGTTGCTAAACCCAAGTTCGAGGGCTTCACAAAAACAGCACTTGAAGCAATTATGCTTGCCCGAGAGGAATACTTGGATGGAATTATATTTGTGCAAAGCAAATTTTATTGGGTATTATTGGTGAAGGTACATGCGTTGCTGCCAAAGTTCTTAAATCCATGGGAATCACACTCGAAGATGTACGTAAACAAGTAGAGGAGACAAGTCCAAGAGTCTGTGGTTTTGCCTCTGTAGGGTTTCTATTTGCAACAGAGGCTCTGGTGCGGTCATTTGAAGAGGCCCGTAAACTTGGTTGGTATCTCTATATATAGTTCCACCTTTTTCATTTGTTGTTAATTAGTTTACGTGGATTAATTTGTAAATCGAAAAATTTCAGGCCATAATTACATCGGACCAGAGAACCTTCTTCTTGGGTTGCTTCGCCAAAGTGGAACGCGGTTTTTTCTTGAGCATCTAGACGCTGACCCAAGTAATATTGTGATTATTGTCACACAGGTTTAAATACATCTATAGACTTGATCTTGTCTCAAATGTCTGATTTAATTTCTGTCCTTAACGGGGCTTGATTAACCTATTTATTTGACCAGGTTCTTCGTATGATTGATGAACAAGGCAATAAGGGAAGTGTTGTTACCGAAGGGTTAACCGGCAACAAAAGAACGCCGACACTCGAGGGATATGGAACCAACTTGACTAAGCTGGCTGAGGAGGTAAGAAACTTTGTTGAGAATTTCAAGAAAGACCCAGCTTTGGAAAGCCGGTTCTTGCCAATCAAAGTCCCTAAACCATCTGAAAGTGAAACTTTGATTATTTTGAAACATTTGAAAGAGCATTATGAGATTCTCCACAGCCTCTGTTACACAGAGGCGTCCTTAATGGCTGCTGCAGTGCTCTCAGACAAGTACAATAGGTAGGTGGGTGGGTCTTTGA